ATTCTTCGTGGAAACATTTTGACAGTGTTCATGGGGTTCTTCACACCTCTGCCCGTTCAGGGCTGGCTTCATGGATGATTGAAAAGGTGGGGCCAACAGTAATTATGTAGCTCACGTGTGTAATTTGACGACAGGAGGTCTAGAGATATGGTGTAGTGCTTCTCAAACACCCATCAGAATCCCCTGGAGGACCCATTAAACCACAGCCTGCTGGTTCCATCCAACAGTTAGAGGTTCAGTAGTGGTATAGGGCTATCAGGTGTCCAGGTGAGGCTGATGCCAGCAGGGAACCACACCTTTAGGACATGGCTACGAGCTCTTCTGTTTCCTCTCTCCACTCCTGAGGCAGCAAGGGCTCAGCTTTTCTAGAGAACCGGTCTTAAACTCAATTAGCTTGCAGGAAAGCTTTTGCATTTTTTCCCCTTTCATTGTTACGTGTATGCGTGTTTTGCCTGCATGTATATCTGTTTACCACATGCATGCAGTGCCCACAGAGGCCAAGAGAGGGCATCAGATATCCTGGGATTGGAGCTAGAGAGTTGTTAGCAGTCCTGTGGCATTTGGATGCTGTAAATCAAACTGGGTTCTCTGAAAGAACAGCCAGTTCTCTTAACAGCTGAGCCATTTCTGCAGCCACCCAATGGAGCTTTTGAGTAAACAGAAAAGGTCAGATATAGTAGTGCATGCCCACAATCCCAGCATTCCAGAGGTTGAAGCAGAAAGATCCTATGTTTGAGATCAGCATGAGGCCCCATGTAAATAAGTGAATAAGCGAATAAGTAATGAAATAAGTCTCCAATCCATCTTCTCCCATAGAAACATGTTGATACAGGGGGAAAAAACATGGTGGTGTGGTTCTAGTTCTGAAACACAGACTGTTCCAGCACAGACATGCAGACAGACAAAACACTCGTATACATAAAATAAAAAACTTCCTCTAATTTTTAGATGAGGCAACTTCAGTGTACAGAAGGGAAAACCTTGGCCAAGACACTAATTATTGGAGTGGAGATTCAAATTCAGCTCTGCCTGGTTTTTGTATGAGCCCTTTCTAATCTTTTTCCTCTTCATTCAAAGGATATCAAACACTGGAAAAAGTTTTGTAAAAGTCAAACCAAATTGGATCCAGTTGTCAATTCTTCGATTACCACCAGCAATCAGTTTTTTATGGTTTGGAAACTATGTCCTAGTGAAACCCGAGTATACCGAGTGCCCCACACCAAACACATACGTAGGGTCTGATGAGAGAGGAATCAGACCGTGGCTGCCCCTTCCTGGGTCTACTCTCCGCAAGGGCAGGGCCCAGTGTTTTCCAGGGAGAAGATCAAGCAGCTCAAATGCCTAGGACACCTCCTACTCTGTAAGTTTTATTAAGGAAATCACACCCCTCCCACTCAGATCTTGAAACCGGAATGAAAACTAAAGGTTTATGTTTAAAGCCACTTAGTATTCCACATCATAACTTCCCAAATACACACAATTTGAATGCACTTTTGATTGATCCCATAATTACAAAATTTGTTTAAAGCTGTTATATTATCTTCTTATTTGACACAATATGGCACAATTTTGTTATAGGATTGAAAACCAAATAAGACAACTACGGTTGGTAGCATTTCAAAGGACTCTTCCCTTTAAGATTAAATCAATCCTGTTTCAAGTGTATTCCCCTGTACTATGATTGAGGCTCTAGGGGTGTATTCTGCAGAAAAATGTCTTTTTGATTTTTTTAGAAATTCTTTAGATTAATATGCAGCTGTCATTGCAAGGCAAATCTAGATCTGCTTTCATGTTTCCTCTTTCCCCAGGCTGCTAGTGTCTACCTCTTCAGGAGAGATGGTCTACTCACGCCCGACTGGGGATTCCTCTTCCAGGCCAGCCAGCAAAGAATGCACCCATGCATGGTGATTTGGAGTGCCTCACACTTTGTTTACAGACTGAATCCATTTCTTTAATATTTCCAGTATCTAGGTATTGACATTTTGATATCTAATTCTAATTCCTGTTCACACACACACACACACACACACACACACACACACACACACACACACACACATTGTGTACTATACCATATTATCACAGTTCCCAACATGGCAAGAGAACAATTCAGGGCTTTGATGTATTTCTGAGTACAGTTTCAGCATTTATTTCATTTTATTCAAGGCTTTCCTTCATGTCTCCCCTTCTGTTTTGATTTAAAGGGCAATGGACTTTCCTCGGGTGTTCTAACTACTAGCATGTTTCAATTCCTGCCTCTCTCAAATTCTTTCACAGAGGCAAACTTGTTTATCTATATACTTCAGATGTATTTCCCCAAAGTAGGTTTGTGCCCCTTCCCCCCAATTCTATGAAAACACAAAGAGATACAGAATAAAGAGAAAGTTTTTAGAAACCTCTTTGCATTAGATGTTGGTCACCAAACAATTCTTCAAACACCTATACAATAAAAGCTAGCTGCTGGCCCATTCCATAACAATGAAGGGCACATTTGTGTTACCTTACTTTCTGTTCTTAATTATGCTAAACTTGGACTGTAACTCAGAGGCTTGAACAGGATGTGTTGATGACAGGGCAAATGGAAGCCTTGCTGGTGAGAAATGGGAGTGTCTTGCTATGATATTAATTACCATCTAACTAAGGCCAACTGTCTGCCTTTTGCTCCTTTTAATACTTGAAAAGAAATCTGGGCTGTATGGATTCCCTTTATTCAGTTACCAAGAGAAAGGATTACAATAGATCAGGGGTCAGCACACTACAGCCCATGGACCAGACCTGTTATAATAAGTACAGCTTTATTGGAACACAGCCACACTCACCGGCTTACATACTGTGGAGCTGCTCTTGTGCTGTGGCAGGCAGAATTGAGTAGCTGAAACAGGAACTGTATGGTCAAAAAAGGCTGAAATATGTAAGTCTAGTCCTTGCCAAAAAGTTGGTCAACTTCTAACATAGATGTTCAAATGCAATGATGTTTTTGAGCCTTTCTTTCCTAAGTGGTGTTAATGGTGCTGAATGAGGCAGTCCGGCTTGTTTCTGGGATGTAACCATGCATGATTATAAGAGAAATTGTTTTAAAGGTTCCACATCAGGTAGATTGTGCATGAAAGATTAGCCCCTGCCTAGAATTTATAAAGGCTTTTTGTTTCACTCAAATAGCTTAACAAAATGCCTCTAAAATAGCGTAAGTTTATAATGCATTGTTGTTGTAGGAAGTGGAGGCGGGCACTATTAATAATTATGCTGAGATCAAAGACATACACAAAACTCACAGACAAACTAATATATGGCCATCTTAAAAGGGCACATCAGTATGCCAGATGCAGTAAACTCCTGCTAGAGAAAGTAAATACATGTAATTTTAAGTTCGCTTCTACTTGAACACATTATCAGAACCTTCTTTGTAAATGAAATTTTTATATACCTTCTAGGAATCTAATGAGTGCTTCCAGCTCATTTGAGGGGTTAACATAAGATCTTTGAACCATCAGAAAATATGATGACATAATCAATAGAGCTTTTGAAGGGAAAATTGAGCTTGAATAATTTTTGCTGTGATTGTCTACCTGGACAATGAGAAAGTAACAGATATAAGCTATCTTAATTTTTACTGCCGCTTTCAATTGCATCCCAAATGACTGGCAAGCTATAAAAGACTGACTGACCTTCCCTCCTGTCATGCTCTTCAAGGGCAATGTGCTCAGGTTGCACTGATCCATACCATGGGGTGGGGAGGAGGGAGATGGGAAGAACCAATAATACAAAGAGCCTCAGATCCACTGCTTCAAATTCAATATCTTAAATATTTATCATATGCACATAAACAACTCTAAAGCAAAAATCATATTCATAGTGCATGCCCATTGCCCAAGTTTACTAACATTTGCAGTAAGGTCTCGGGTTGAAGATTCATTCTGTCCTCAAAACAGTAAGAAGGTGTTAGAAATCACTACATATTGAAATCTTTCAAGGCACCTCTCTTATTGTTCTGCTAAATATTAACGTGGAGAAAGAGACTTAGAATGTACATCTTCTATTAAAACATTATAACAGTATTTATAATAACCAAGATTTTTACTGTGCTTTATCATTTACAAAAATTTTTACGTATATGACTTGACTCACACTGTACACAAGTAACTTGAGAATATTATTGTCTTGATTTTCTTGGAATAAAACTCAGGCACAGAAGGGTTAAAGGACCTGTTCAAGATCATATAGATAAGTACTAATATTCAAGTTGGTCTGAGCCTTGCACTTCAAAGGCCATTTAACACTATTCAATATTTTCTAAATTGTGTGAATTAATGATGTTATTGAGTCTGGAAAAAGATATTCCAATGAAAATAACGCTGATGAATTGTTAAAGAGGCCAAAAGGAGCATGAAACAAAAAATGCAGACTGGCTACAAATGAAAAAAAAAAGTGTTACAAGTGTGAACCATCATCACAGCTAATGAAACAAAGATGAAAGGAATCTCAATAACATAAGAACATTTAGCAGAGTGTGGTATCCTAGGCCTATAATCTCAGCACTCAGAAGGTAGGATTAGGATGATTAAAGTTCAAAGGCAGCTTTGGCTACATGAATGAGATACTGACTCAAAATCTAAAAAGCATACACACACATACACACACACATACACACACACACACACACACACACACACACACACACACACACAGAGTCATTTAAGGTTTAAAGGTTAACACCTATTTTGTCCACTTGATATTATCTTCTGATCCTTGGCTGCATATTATAGACAGAACTCAAATATAAAGCTTAAACAGATAGAAATTTTATTTCTCTGGCAAGGGAAGTCTACATAAAGGTAGTTGAGGTGTGAATAAAATCTTTATTTAGATAAAGACTTACTTGTCACTCAAACTCTTCAACTCTTTGCTTTGCCATTCCTATAGGAGGCCAAACTGGGAGAAGCTCCAAACATAAAATTTATGTTTTTAGACATCATGAAAGGGGAAGAATGAAAAGCACTCACCCTTCTTCAGAAGAGACCTTCTATAAGGCAATGCATGACCTGTAGATTATATTTGTTGGCAGAATTTTTCATGTTGCTGTAGCTGCAAGGAAGGCAGACCAACTTGAATTCTTATTACCAGAAAGAAAGGAAAGACACAAATAGAGTAAGCAAATAGCCTTTGCCATACTCTTCTCTAGCAAGAACAGAACAACTGAAGAGTAATTTAAAGAAAGAGAACAAAATTGTATTGTGTTTTTCCTGCCTGTACCAAGTTCTTTATATGTTATACAACATACCTTGATATCAAGGTATGTTTTCTTTAATACATATCAGAAAATGTAAAGAGCAAGTTACATAAAAGCAAAAGAAAAAAAGTGTTCCATTTTATATAATTAACAAGTATAGTGTGGGAGTCCACTTCTCTTTCTGCTGTGATTCTTTCTCTAGTTTTTATAATAAAAAAATGACCACAAAAAGAAAATAATTGAGAAAAAAATGTTATTGTTTGGCGAGAACACGGGGTTTAGGAAAAACACCATGCATTCGCGTATTTATTTATTTAACACACATTAATTGTTCCTGTATTCTAGGACTTCAGTCTTCAAATAGAAGTCTTTAGTTTGAGCTTTTAAAGGAAGCCAAACTATCAATCAATTTTTGATGCAGAGAGGTTTACAGGTCATCTTGTCTTCACGTTTTTAAAGGAAAAGAGAAGGCAAAATCAGGAACAATGAAGTAGATGCCTTTGTGGCTTGGGGAAAAATGGTAGGAGAGGGAGCTCTCATCAAACTACAACAGAAACTTCGTGTCCAGGATTGTGTGGTATTGGAGCATCCCTTAGAGACAAGGTAATGTAATCCTACGTCCTGGAAATATTGAAGCAAAATTAAAAGTATCTGTTCCAGGAGGTCCTCATGTTCTTGGGCCACTTCCATGGTGGACTACTTCTCTGATACCAAGAATGTAGGGACGTAATCAGAGCAAATGATACTGCCCTGTGTCTGCAGTGGTATTGAACTCCTTTTGGGATTATACTAGGACTTCCAGTATTTAAGCAAAGGCTAGAAAGAGAATTCCAAAAAGAGGAAGACCAAAGCAGGAATGATCTCCCTGTCTCGATTATCATTAACATGTTGCCTGAAGTAAGAAAGTCACATCCCATGTGTAGAAGCCCATCCCTACTTACCCTGCTTTCTCCTACTTGATTCTGTTTTGAAGCATTTCATTACAAAGGCTCTGTTTTACTGCATTTGTCACGGTGGTTTGATTTCCACAGAACTTGAAGACCTTGTGTGTATATCCAGGGTGCTAGGCATCAGTGACTGTGGAAACTGTCTCTGGAGCTGGCAGTTTACCAAGCCAGCTTTCTACCAAAGGAGGCAGAGCAAGGGTAGGGGCGGACACAGGCAGCCGTGGAAGGAGCCGTGACAGCTGTTAAAAGTGGCAGAAGTGGCCGTCAGGAGCCTGGGAATTCAATCTGGGTATTTACACTAATGGTACATTAGCAGGCCGTGCCAAATAGAGAATCCCCCTCTTTTCAACATTCAGCTTGATACCCAAGATGCCATGACTCGCAGCTAATTAATATATTTTTACGACGTCCACTTCTGTTTCCGTGTTTCTATTTATAGAATTCTGTTATTTGTGTTCCGGCATGGGTCACTCTGTTGAACTAAGGGCGAATAGAAAGACGGGAGGGAGGAGAGAAGAGAGAAGGGAGGGAAGAGAGAAAATAAGGAATCAGGATAGCATAAGGAAAACTATCAAAATATGACTTTTTTGATTTGATGCATTTTTATTCAATCAGATCATTTTCTTTTTCTTAAAACTGTTGATAACTACGACCCTTCCTCCACAGCCGGAGTCACGTGGCAAAGAGACCGGGTGTATATAAATAGACAACTGCTACTTTGAATTTTGTATGCAAAAGTAGTCCTCTCCAGTTCTCCTCACTTCTCATCTATGTCTCTGTTTGATTTTCCTGTTTGCTGTCTTCCTGCCTCCAGGGCAAGTGCGGAAAGATGGAGAGACCATGGCAATGCCAAGTAGCACGAGTCTGAGTTTAACGAGGTTGGAAAATTTGAATTTATGACAGGTGACATCAGCTTATGAAATCTGTGTTTGTTATTTTCAAATCACACTCATCGAGAAATATATTGGCATCACAAGACATGGAAAGCAAAGTATATTTGATCCATTTTAAATAGGAAAAGAATGCAATCCCAGGCATGTCTGTAAACATGCCTTCAAATTGGTAAAATGGCTTGAGCCTGTGTTTCTGGAGATGAGAAACTGGAATGTTCTTTCTGCCTTAATCTTAGATGAGTAATAGAATATAGCAGGTGAGTAAGCTATTGATATTTCCTTTAATTTTAGTTTAATATTGTCAGAGAAAGGACAAAGGTGGTTTAAAAAAAACCTGACATGACGATTACAGCTGGTACCCCTAGTGATTTCCAAATTGGGTAAGATGCTCCCCAAGTCCTGTCCCGCAGGAAGAGCTGGGATTACTGCCCTCCACCCCCACCCTTTCAGTTCATCATGCTGAAGCTTCACAACTTCTTTGCTTAATGTGTTTGTTTTAATTTAGAGGGAATGCTTACATAGAATGAATCTCAAATCACTCTCAAACCTCCCTGCTTTTGCGTCTTCTCCTGCTTTTCATGACGGCGTAGATGCAGGAGGCAAAAACATTGAGAAAACAGTGTTACCCAACTGAAAGAAAAACTAATGGTAACTATGTTCTCATATTACCAGAGGTTAGCAGGGAGCTACTTTAATATGACAGCTAATATAACTCATTGATGCGATTACTCAAAAGGAAGAATGCTGTCCGAGTCCAGTTACATCCCAGTGGTTACAATTAGATAGGCCAGCTGGATGGGGTCCAGAGAGAGAGGCTGAGAAAACTGCAGTCAGGTCAGCAGGGACATGGCTGGGGCAAGGTGGACTTCATGAATCAGGCAAGTAAAAAAAAAAAAAAAAAAAAAAAAAAAAAAAAAAAAGGAGCCCTACCTAATTAATTATAGGCTTTTTAATTCAGAGGTTTTTAAATAAAGCCTGGATAAAAAGAAGTAGCTTTGGGGTCTATTTGCCAACTCTGAGCCAAATGTTTTGAATAAGCAGTTCCCTTTAATGGATGATGATGGTTGACTATTAAAGTCTTCTTAAGTTGACTTTAAAAAATAACAAAATGGAAAGCAAAGGCCCCCTTAGAAAAGCAAGCTACTATTCTTTGAGCATGTCTGTGACTGTAAAATTACCCTGGACCTGCTAGTAACATAGTGTGGTCAGAGGTACAGACAACAGTGAGGTGAAAAGAAGTCTTAAATCGTCCTTCTTGGAACTCTTATACACATTAGAGAACTCCATCAGACAGGAACTACGCAGGAAATAGAAGGCATATTGGAAAGGTACATCAGAAGGAGTTTACTAAAAGGACTATTTGAAGAAGTCCTGTCGGGGAGGTGAAGAATCCCAGGACCAGCAACAATAGATGTTTGCACCCCTTCCAGCCAGAGATACAACCTTCTGGAGTTATTACTGGTCTCTTCATGGAAGCAGAGCCATAGCCTCAGCCAAGACACTCCCACAGGAAGTGAATGTAGATGTATGTGCTTACATGTATATGTGTACATGTGTTTATTTGTATGTATGTATGTTTGTATGTACATATATGTGTATAGATGTATATATATGTGGGAGGTACATATGTGAGGAGTATGCATAGGGTGCGTGGATGTGTGTGTATTTGTGTGCGTGTGTGTGCGCGCGTGTGTGTGTGTGTGTGTGTGTGTGTGTGTGTGTGTGTGTGTGTGTGTGTCACATGCAGGGCATAGGAGCCAAGCTTTCTCCTCGTGCTCTCTGATCCATCTGATGCAACAGGAAGCCAGAAGAGAAGGACAGTACCACAGGAGTCGGCTCCCAGGTTGCAGAGCAGGGCACAGAGGGCCTAATAAAACTGGGTCTGGTAACCTCAGAGACTGTGGGAGAGAGGAGAAATGATTTCTTAAAGGCGTTTGTGTAGACCAAGATTGTAATATGACCTTCGGTCCTTATTCATTGAGTGGCTTTGTATAAGCCACTGTATCTTCAGCTACAGGTGACTTTGAGATGACAGTGAATTTGAAAAGAATATCAGAGACTTGACTTTAGATGGAGCCAACATGAGGAGGACATCACCTCTCCAATGACAAATATTTGAGTCTCAGGGCTGAGAGGATAGGGAGAAGGAGAGAGCCGCAAATTCCAGGGTATGCGTCCCCTGCACAGTCAAGCATGGCAGCCATCAGACAAGTGAGCTCTGATGTAAATCTACAAATTAATGAACTTGCTTTTACAAAACACACATGCAAAGACTAAAACTTCCAAATGAACACCATACCCTTGTCCATGGGAATATTGCTTTTTGTTCTGACATTTCATAAATCACTTTTGAATATCTTTTTTATAAATGATCTTTGGAGCTAATCTATGTGTCACAGAAGAAACCTGGTATCTCGGGAGTTACTTACACACTGTATTGCTTGTTGCTACTGCTATTGCTGATTTTTCTAGCCAACTTCAATATTCTTTACCAAACTTGGTACAAAATTTTACAGAGCCTAAAAACCAAACCCACTCCTAGTATGCAAATATTCATCACACTTGAGATGGGTCAAGGTATAGCTGCAAGTTCAAAAGTGTATTATTCAGGACTCTTCAGCAAAGAAGAACCAGCAGTGCATGCATCCTATATTCCTGAAACATATGGAGTATGTTGTAAACTGAAGTTTCCAGGAAAAAGAAAAGCTGCACCTATATTAAAGAGTCTACAAGACCAAATGGCTGAACCTGCTAATTACAGGGAGTTAAAATGTTCCAGACCAGAGTCAGGGTGTCTTTGTTGACTTTCAGTTCCTCCAAAAGTTACTCATTGCTCGCCTGATGCTTCACTTCACGTCCTTATGACTATTAAAGCTTTTCAAATGTGTGCTTATCTGACCACCAAATTCCACCAATCCGAAAGCTAAAAAAGTCATCACCTAACATCTGAGACTCAAAACTGTTTTCCTCACTTTGATGTAATCTGCCTACTGATGGTCCTTTACAGTGTATTTGATAAATTCTTGACATACGAATTTCTTTGCCCTTTAGCTAATAAAAGCTTATGTAATCACTTCCACAGTGAAACATGCTTTTCAGGGCAACCGAAATCTATATTCCTGAGGATTATGGTTAATATTGTCAGCTTGATGAAATGGAGAATCACTAGAGAGACAGGTATCTGTGCTTAATCTAAATTAAGTTAATTGGGTAGGAAAGCCCACCTTAGATATAAATGACACCATTCCATGGACCAGGATCCCAGGCTACTGAAGGAGGAGAAAGTAGTAGCCTAAACATTATAATTCATTGTTTTCTGCTTTCTGAGTATAAACACAGTGTGGCCAGCTACCTTGGCCTCAGCTGCCATGACTTCCAATCCTCAAACTGTAACCCAGATAAGCCTTTCCTTCCTCAAGTTGGTTTTATCACAACAAGAAATGCAGTTAATACACCAAGCCTTGGTCACACTTTTGGCTCAAGAAGAAACTATCTCTTAATGTTCCCTGGGAAATCTGGGTCCCTTTTGTGAGTTCTTAGGCTCAATAATGAAAGAATTAAAAATGTATTCAGAAGGAGACTCAAGGACCATTTTGTTATAGTTTGAGAGAAAAACAAGTCCAGAAAGCTGTAAATGTCAGCAACTGCTAGGGGGAAGGGGACAGGAAAGAGGCGTGGGGGTCAGAGAAACAGTACCAAAAGCTGAAGTACAGGGGAAGCATATTTAGGATTTTGGCCAGTATCCAAAGAAGAAATAGAAATGGAGAAAAGGAAAAGGTGTGATTTTTTTTTAAAGACAGAACTCAGAGAAGCAGGCAGACTTAGCAAAGCTGCTCTCTCTGTGAGTGCACTGCACACAGGGTTTGGAGGCTTTGAAGAGCTACGAGTATACCATCTTACTGGGGGATACATGTCCTCCTATCTCCTTAAGCTTCTCTTCAAGTGAATCAGCTTTCCTGAAAGGTGGTCTCCTGGCCAGCTCATAGGCCTAACTGGATTAACTCTTAAGAGAAGAGACAATGTTAGTTAAAGTTCAAGTCTTTGGAGCGGATCAGAATAGCATGTCTCTATGGGCATCCACAAAGTCCTGGTATTTCCACCTTTTATATGATATTTTAAATGCTAAAGAAGGGCAAATATGAAGCTTCCTTACATTTGTTACCCGGGAAATAGAAATGGAATCCAAAG